TCACAGGGCTCTTACAAACGAATAGTCATACTTTTACTTAGGTTAGGGCGCCGTGGACTCTTTGCAGATGACCAGGCCTTGATAGCAGATACAGCAATGAAATTGCAACAACATCTAACATCCATGAATGAAGAATGTAAAGCAAATAATATGAGAATCAACACTGAAAAGACAGAAGTAATGTCAATAGGAAAAAAACCCAGATCTAAACATAGCACTAGAATACAAAGGCATTAAACATGCATCTGAGTTTAAATATCTGGAAACTACATTTACCGAAGATAGGAAATTGGATAAAGAAATTAACATTAGATGCAGTAAAGCAAACCAAGTATTGGGACAGCTAGCCCCCCTCTTACAGCATAAGACAATCCCAATCAGAACAAAGAGACATCTTATTCAAAGCATATTTATTCCAACTCTGTGCTACCAGTGCCAGACATGGTCACCCACAACAAACCATAAAAGAAAATTAGTAACCACGGAAATGAGATGTCTGAGAAGGGCTGTAGGAGTGACCATAAGAGATAAGATCAGGAATGAGATCATAAGAGAACAAGTCGGCACAGAACCCAATCTGGATTACATACAAAGACAGCAAGTGAAATGGTTTGCCCACTTAGAGAGAATGCCTTGTGACACCATACCATACAAAGCATACATGGAAAGAGAAGAAGGACGTAGAGCACGGGGTAGACCAAGAACAAGATGGAAGGATAACATCAGAGAAACTCTACAACAGCACGATGTGCCTATGGTCGAGGCAGCCAGAAGAGCTAGAAACAGAACCTTATATCTCCCTCGACACCCACAGCGGTAAAAGAGGAAGTGAAGAAGAAGAAGAAGAAGGGCGCCGTGGAAAGATTTTACTTAAAAAAAGGCGCCGCGACTTACCTTAGATGGTTCATCATCCTACAAAACAAAGAGTGATGCAGTTAAGGAAAATATAGCTCTAACACAATACGTTTCTCTCACTTTCCTTTCACGGAGTGTGTCAGATCTGTGTAAAGAGGTCCAAAAACGCCCTCCGCAAAAAGTAATTTAAGATAATTTTAAACCAATCTAGATACGAGGACACCTCTGTCTCTGTGTGCACTTTGCTGTTAGCAAGGGTATCGCAGAGTAGTGTACTCACCTCCCCTAACAGCTTAAAAGGTTTATAAAGGCTAATGAATTAATCTAATGCATCGTGGGGGTGAAATTCAAGGCAAAGCTATCACGTAATATGTCTTAGCGTCTGAGGCTTTGGCATTGGGAATGCGCTTCGTAATGCCGGGGTGTCGGGTTCGATTCTAGCTGCAGATGGTTTGTCTTGCGTTGGTTTGGACAGTAGTACCGAGAGTTGACCGTTCAGTAAGTAATGGCAAACCATTGAACGTAAAGGTTGCCTACAAAAACCCAACCACAGCCAAAAAATGCATTGGTTGATTTTGTAACGTCCTGAAAAGGATACACAACTAACTTTTTTTTCTAAAATATATCTTAAGAAACCCATCAGTAATCAAAGATATGGCTCCTGGGAGAAAGGACAAGAGTCTACCAGAAAGACGGTGAACACATAATAAAAACACCCCGCGCTTGTCAGTTCACCATGCCAGAAATATGGCAGGGGGACCAGATAGTTTCCTATTGTGACATGATACCAACTTTCTGCAAAAGACCAGCTACATAATAGTGTGGATGGTGTCCGTGGTGACTGACAGCGTTATTATAGTACAGATAACAAAACATCATTTTGTAAAGTGTGCTGTAATTTATTATATGTGTAAAAACACCGAAGCAGCTAAAAAAAAAAAAGAGCACAGTGGCTTGGCATTGCATGCAGACTGGGGGAAACAACTGATATTCCAACAATTACATCGTCATTTCGAAGTAAGATATCATAGTTTTAAACGGATATGCATGAGGTGATAATAAAATCAATTAACATGTTTTTTTTAAATATTTTTTTTATGTATGGGAGTTGTATCCAGCCAGCACATCCTTGGTAAAACAATGAAAGGTTAGATTACTGCTTGCTATAAAAAACGTTTTAAATAAATCTGAATTTTATACAAGGTCACTTTGAATAGAGGCTGACCCACGACCGAGACAAACATAAGATTGATCCGGATAGATCAGCGCAAGGATGAATCGATCAATACGTGTATGTGTAGGCGGGGGGAAAAGGCAACCAGAAAAAGTTTCATCAGACACGAAGGCGGGTGGACAGTTGTAATGCTATTCCAAGGCTGATTGATGCAAACATGGACAGAATGACAGTCAACATAGATACAGGCTAAAAAAAAAGACTGCGCTTTCTATCCCACATGAAAAAAATATTGGCTTTGTATCCAACAGTTTTTGTGTGTGTGTGTGTGTTTTTTTTTTTTTTTTTTTTTGTATTTTAAAATCTAAGTAAACGTAAAGGACCCTTTTCTATACTGGGCATATGAAGGACCCTTTTTCTTAAGGCGTATTGGGCATATAGGGCTAGACCTATTTTTTTTGTCCAATCGGCACTTGGTGAGTGATATCGTCAGCATCCCGCCAGGTACCTCTACTTCTTAGGGCTGAACCTGGAAACCACTCAGGGCTGCATCGACCTAGGAGCCAAGGTTATTTAAAAAAAAAAAAAGTTTGGTTCTGTCAGGACCTTCCGATCCTCAGGCGAGCGACTAACCACCGCGCCACAGCGGCGCTCTTTCATTTTAAAGTAAGAGTATCTCAGTCTTTATTGCAGAGCTTTCCACACTGTAAATTATACACTTGCTAGACAAACATAATTTCACGACACTGTTGTTCAGTCTGCGAGAAAATCAAAGATCAATATAACGTCTTATGAGATAAAGACACATAAATTACGCTTTTATCGCGAAACACCTATGCACTGCAGCCGACACACTAAGGTTATCACGACAAACAGCTTTGAAAGCTCTGCTTTATAGGTTTTAAAATACTACAGCTGTAGGCCATAATGAGCAATGGAACAATTTAGATAGTATGAATTATCTAAGCAGAATAAAATGACATTATCATGTTTAGATATGTAAATCATTTATAGGGTAAAGCGTGGTGAGTTGCGTTGTTATTTTATCTTAATACATATATACCTAATACGTTTAGTTTTAAATGTAACGTCTTCTGTTTTGTTTTTTGGTAGCCAACAATTCGCCATTCAAAAAAAAAAAAAAAAAATGCCAGCTTTAAATAACCAGTGACGCAAACAAAAACCTTCTTCAGAAAAAAAAAAAAAAAAAAAAAAAAAACGAAGAGAAAGAGAACACAACACAGTTGACTACACTACGGTATTCACTTTTATGTAAACAACTAATACACAATAATCATAAAAAAAAACAGTACGCAATATGTTTCCGAATCACTCCAAGGAAAGTAGTTTTTGATGTCTTCTATCAAATAAGATCTTATTTTAACTACGCTTCGTATCCCAGTTATTCGAATAATTACTACAGTTCAAAAATGGCCCTTTTAACCTCTTCCGACAACATTTGTTGTGTTTGTGTTAACTTAGCTGGCGTCTCTAATGAACAAATAACATTTCTGTCCAGCCAGTGGAACATCTGACACGTGTGTGGCCACTGTTCGCTGAGATAAATGGGAGCTGCTGCAGCGCATAGACTAGACGCTCGTCTGTCAGCCCAAAGGTCATAGCTTCAAATCAGCATCTTCTTGTCAATATCTTCATTTGCTCCAGTGTCAGCCAAGACCGGCTCCAGCTGATGGGCATGCTGCCGATGTCACCAAACCGGGCTAACGATACGTTAACGTAGCGATTCTAAAACTGGGTGATGCGGCACTCAGGAGTGCCACGAGCGTATGTTAGGGGTGCCGCGGCAATGATCAGGAATGTTTTCCAAATCGGCTTGGCATTAAATTTGCATGGTAAAGTTTTTTTTTTTCCTTAACTCTTTTAGGACGGCATTTTTTCTGGGGTTTGGACAGCATTAATTTGAAGCGGAATTTTTTTTTCTGCAACGCGACGAAGATAAAACCTTCCTGAAGAAAACGTATGGACTGTATCAGGACTTATAATATATCAAATTAAGGGTAAATGAGTGCAGAATAAATCTAAACTACTTAAATGTCAGTATAACTTCAAAATGTTATTAAAATCACACAACATTCAAGGATGTTAGACACATATGAACATTTTAAACATAAAAAATTGTTCTAACCTTATTTTTTACTTTTTCAACAACACTGCTATCCAATTCTAAGAATACACATGCCTTCTCTGTTCAATTATGTATTAGCTAGTCTTTATTTGAAACCATTAATTTAAATACTTTGGATATTATAATCATTTTTGTATGACATGTCAATTTTCACAACAACTGAAAATCGGGAAAACAGCTGATCGAAACTTTGATCTAATTGAAATATTTTGTGAAATTTTCATATCCTAAACTAATCTATCGATAGTAGATGTGTCTCTTAGATATCAATCATAATATCAAGACTGTTGTCACCATCTGGCACGGATTCATCAACAATAGAGCAGTGTGGACAGTTCTAGACCTTTTCCCTTATCATTTAGTATAGAAAAATCACGTAACAATTTTATCTTATCTAAATAATTTTTTTTTAAATCCTAAAATAATTGGGAAATGAGCAGAAAGATAGACTGGCCGCTTCTGCATTACTTAATGGTGTTGATGTATGACAAGCTAGATGTTGTGAGGGCCCTTCGAGAACGAATAAACAGTGCCTAGGAACAGATAGATCATTACGGTCTGAGGAGAATGGTACTGCGAGGAGTTACAAAGGGGTCTGGCCTACGCTCGACACACAGAGAAAAGGCGGGGCGGATATACAATCAGACATTTACTGGTACCATCGGATTTTTACTCTTAGCTTGCTGCTGAAGATAGGGACGGAGCGCTTATAGGGGTGCCCCGAGTTCTGTGATGTCGATTCCTAATTCAACATTAAACATTCAACATTCAAGTAGTTAAATTATTTTATTGCTATGAAATAATATATTTCCCTTTTCATTGCAGAAAATTCGGAAAATTTATTCTCGTTCTCATTCCGCTATTTGGAATCATGTACATAGTATTAAACGTGGCCTTCCCCTCAGAGGTTCAAGGTCGAGGATACAATGTCATTTACCTCTACGTTGAAATGGGCTACAACTCATTTCAGGTACGGATGTGTTTTCTGTTGTGTAGTTCTAAACATATGAGTTGTTAATATTTTGTTATAAATGATAATAATAAAAATAATAATATTAATCATGTTTGTAGTAAATAACTAATTTTATGTGACAGTTACAGTTTGTTGCATATCCTTTACAGGACGTTGCAGAACAAACCCCAGCATTTTTTGGCTGTTGTGGTTTTTCTAGACAAATTTACGTTTAGTAGTTTGCCATTGCTTCTGGACAGTCGGCTTTTCGATAGCACTGTGGAAATCAACGCAAGGCGCAAGGCAGGCAGCTGTGATCGAACCCGGCCCCCCGGCATTACGAAGAGCTTTCGCAACGCCAAAGCCACAGACGCTGACTTCTACAGAAAGGATTGTTCTAATTAACAGTTACAGGCGATCTCATATTATATTATGATTTCCGGTGACCACACACGTGTCAGATATTTTATTGACTGGACCGAGATGTGTTTGTTCTTTTACCGAAGATATGCTAGTTAGGTGATTTTTCTGAATTCTTGTACGTGTAGTATTCTGTTGATAACGCCGCAACTTTCGTGTCTGGTTTGCGACTGTCATTTGTGAAGCCGACTGTCTCTACTTTTCGTTTAGTTTGATATTTTTTCATTGTAATATGCGAAATTATAGCATTAGATTTGATGGATGTTAATGTCCAAAATTGTTGGTCTACACAATTCCGACTTTTTAAATGTGTTTTATTGGCCACATAAGATATTTTATGTTTAATAAAGATCTCAGTTTCACATCGAGAAATTGCTTGTGAAATATATGTTTTCACCTGGTAAAAATGTCACGACAGTGGTCAATGTATTTTACTATCACACACAACACACACTGTATGTGTGTGCGTGCCTATTTTTCGAATGTTATACATATTCCCCAACTTCTCTCTCTCTCTTTCACTCTCTTTCTCTCGTTTAATGTTTTAACAATGCCAAATTCATTCATAAAATCCTCCAAGTTTATTCATGAAATCTTATCAAAAATACTTCTTATTACATTTTCCGGTTGATCTAATCCAACCCTAGAAACAATTCATCAAACTGAATAATTTTAAGCCACGCTGTGTTAAATAGGCTTTTAAACTTCTAAATCCACGTTCTCATGTTCGTTAATAAAAACTCTGGTGGCTTGTATTTGAGTAACTGTCCTTTCGACTGCCTTCTTATTTCCATCATTGTAAATTTATGTCATATGGGAAAAAAAAAGGGGGGGGGGGGGTGTCAGAAACCTAATGATAAAAGCTTGTGTGGGTATTGCAGTCGTAGTGAACAATGTAGGTTAGAATTGCCCCCCACCCCACCTCACCCCCAATCAAACAATGTCCCTCACATCATCGACGATTCGAATCCGATCTCTCTCACGAGAGAGCCGTTCGACTATCGACTGTACCGTTAAAGTGAAGCATCTAAGAGTCGTGTATTTTTCATCCCGTTTCCTTATTATTTTAATTTCCATTCGTTGATGATTAGCCTACTTGGTAAGCTGTCAAAAATAGGCTTTCATCAAATCCCAGTAAAGCCAAGTAAGAATCGTCTGTACGATTCTTTCAGCAAGGACATTGCACGTCATGTTGATCCATTGCGTGTAAACGTTAATCTAAAAAACCCTCACGGCAAGCTGAAAGCCATTACAAGGATTCACATTTCTACAGATGTCGTGTCTGGTTATTTATCTAGTTCTGCTTGCGTGACACAGTATAGGTCTTCCTGCTGTGTCTGTGAACTTGGTGAGGCCTATTATACAATACTTTGTGACAAACAGAGCTGTACTTGATTCAACCTTTGGGACAGGATAGATAATAATTAGTCTCCTTGGCGATGTGGTTTAGCATTTACTTCAGGCCTTGGAGGTTGTGAGTTCGATTGCTGATTTTTTCTTTTGATTATGAATGCAAGTGTTTTGGAAACATAAAATGAAATCTTATCTCAAAATACTCCTAATTATATTTTCCGGTTGATCTAATCCAACCCTAGAAACAATTCATCAAACTGAATAATTTTCAGCCACGCTGTGTTAAATAGGCTTTTAAACTTCTAAATACACGTTCTCATGTTCGTTAATAAAAACTCTGGTGGCTTGTATCTGAGTAACTGTCCTTTCGACTGCCTTCCTATTTCCATCATTGTAAATTTATGTCATAGGGGAAAAAAAGGGGGGGGGGGGTGTCAGAAATCTAATGATAAAAGCTTGTGTGTGTATTGCAGTCGTAGTGAACAATGTAGGTTAGAATTGCCCCCCACCCCACCTCACCCCCAATCAAACAATGTCCCTCACATCATCGACGATTCGAATCCGATCTCTCTCACGAGAGAGCCGTTCGACTATCGACTGCACCGTTAAAGTGAAGCGTCTAACAGTCGTGTATTTTTCATCCCGTTTCCTTATTATTTTAATTTCCATTCGTTGATGATTAGCCTACTTGGTAAGCTGTCAAAAATAGGCTTTCATCAAATCCCAGTAAAGCCAACTAAGAATCGTCTGTACGATTCTTTCAGCTAGGACATTGCACGTCATGTTGATCCATTGCGTGTAAACGTTAATCTAAAAAACCCTCACGGCAAGCTGAAAGCCATTACAAGGATTCACATTTCTACAGATGTCGTGTCTGGTTATTTAGCTAGTCGTGCTTGCGTGACACAGTATAGGTCTTCCTGCTGTGTCTGTGAACTTGGTAAGGCCTATTATACAATACTTTGTGACAAACAGAGCTGTACTTGATTCAACCTTTGGGACAGGATAGATAATAATTAGTCTCCTTGGCGATGTGGTTTAGCATTTACTTCAGGCCTTGGAGGTTGTGAGTTCGATTGCTGATTTTTTTCTTTTGATTATGAATGCAAGTGTTTTGGAAACATAAAATGAGACTTCACTTGGGCTTCTTGTGGCTCTAAGAGTCAGATAGATTTCTTCAAACTTCTATCGAGAAGTAATTAAGCGTTTGCCACTGCTGGAGTGGGATTTGGGGTGGGGCGGGGAGGGGCGTGTTCGAATTCTGGCTCCCTGAGTTCGCGAATGCAGGTATTTCAGAGAATCCAGAAGATGTCTCTGAAGCTGTAGAGTTTGTACTTTGTGGGACATTATTATCTGTGAGTCCAGCGGTCATGCAGATTGTGCGGGGTGGGAAGAGGAGAGAGAGAGAGAGAGAGACAGACAGACAGACAGACAGACAGACAGACAGACAGACAGACAGACAGACAGACAGACAGACAGACAGACAGACAGACAGACAGACAGACAGACAGACAGACAGACAGACAGACAGACAGACAGACAGACAGACAGACAGACAGACAGACAGACAGACAGACAGACAGACAGACAGACAGACAGACAGACAGACAGACAGACAGACAGACAGAAAGAGAGGGGGGGGGGGAGAGAAAAAGAGATTTGTGGAAAACAACCGATGCATTGAAGCCAAAAGTCAAGCTTCTCTCACCTTTATATATATTATAAAAATATAGAGATTAGAGGCAATGCATGTGTAACGTATTGGAATTAACGATATCCTCACCAGTCTAAGCCTGTCCGTTTTGCTCGTGTCCTTTACCTGGGTGCTAGACTTTACTATTCTGGAGCATAAACGGGATACCTGAGATTCGCCCTCTTTGTTTTAGCCACGGCCTTTTCTATAGGCCAACTAGGTCAACTGGAATTCCCGTTCTTGTGCAAGTAAGGAGTCCCTCTATGTTCACAGTTTTTATCCAGGAGATGTATACACAAATTAAACTACAGTTTTATTATTTTGCGACATATTTTATAGTACTATATATGTCATTTTTAAGGTAAATAAGTGTGCTGTTAAAATATAACAATAAAGGCTCTTACTGACAAAGAAAAATGCGTTTACTACAGTCAACATAAACATCAATAACGTATAGATATGAACTGGGAGTTATTCCAGCAAAAGTAAAGAAATATTCGTATTAATGCAAACTCTTTGATTCTGAGAGAGTGTTGCATTAGAGGACCCGTGAGGGCGGGGAGGGGGGGGGGGGGGGGTGACATTTGTACTTTATCAAGTTAAGCACATAAAAATACTGCTGTGAAACATACACACACCATACATAACATAAATATAATTGATTGATGATTATTATCTCTATTAGTAGACTACTACAACATATAATTAAACTGTTATTTATAATTATTAAACAAGTACAGTCAATATGAAATTGATATGCGTCATAATTTTAAACCCAGTGCAGTTTTCTTAAGAGTACTTATAGTACTATTGAATATTTATCCTCAAGGTACAAACAACACAAACAAATTTGTCCAGTTTCATCTTGTTGGCTGAAATCAGTTCCTTATCATTGTGAATTTGTTGGGTAACTGTTTAAAAATACATGACACATATTTCTTAAAAAAAAAAAAATAAAATCAACACAAACCGTACAACTTCAAATATGCATAAGAAGTAGATGAACAACCAGAAGTTTCTGTCAGAGTTTACAGCCAGTGATTGCGAAGAAGAAGATGATTCACAAAAATGAACACAGACCGTACAACTGCAAATATGCATAAGAAGTAGATGAACAACCAAAAGTTTTTGCCAGAGTTTACAGCCAGTGATATACAGAAGGACCTAGTTTAGCCATCCACAGTGCCACTCCTGAAGTCACGTGGGTGGGTTAAACCTTCAGGTAGCAGCTGGGAGAGGTCATTCGGACATATTTAGTGTCGGGAATTGTGAAGCTAGAATTATGCAGTTCAGTTTGTAAAATAATACTTCACTCTTTTCGGCACAAATCACGCACGATGGGGGTCTCTTTCTGTTGAATCTCAAACGTAACCTTAAATGACAAGACTGTTTTTCACCTTTAGGTTCATTAGGTATATGGTGAGCGAGTGACATTCAACCCTACTAGGACCTCACAACGAGCGATAAACACCCCGATGACACACAGTGCCACCATTTGAATGAGAATGACCCGGGTACAAGTCCCAGAAACCCTGTTCAACCGTTAGGTTAA